GAGTTACTGAGGACTTTTTTATAACATCTTTCCTCGTCAGTTTGCACTATTAAGTAACACAGTATCACGACGTTACCCTGCTGACTTACCGCTGAGTTACTGAGGACTTTTTTATAACATCTTTCTTCGTCAGCTTGCACTATTAAGTAACACGGTATCACGACGTTACCCTGCTGACTTACTGAGGACTTTTTTTATAACATCTTCCTTCGTCAACTTGTACTATTAAGTAACACAGTATCACGACGTTACCCTGCTGACTTACTGAGGACTTTTTTATAACATCTTCCTTCGTCAACTTGCACTATTAAGTAACACAGTATCACGACGTTACCCTGCTGACTTACCGCTGAGTTACTGAGGACTTTTTTTATAACATCTTCCTTCGTCAACTTGCACTATTAAGTAACACGGTATCTCAAATTACATATTTATATTTTAATATTTATATTTTTCGATTGAATATGGAACAATTCTTGTTAAATATTCTCTCAATAAAATAATGTTAGGCTAGAATCATGGTTAAATCTTGGTGTATTGAATAAAATAACACATCTAACTCAGCTGTAGAACTGTATAGAGTACAGGTATCCGTCTACAGGTATCCGTCTACAGAAGGAAGCACATCTAACTCAGCTGTAGAGATGATATAGAGTACAGGTATCCGTCTACAGAAGCACATCTAACTCAGCTGTAGAACTGCTATAGAGTACAGGTATCCGTCTACAGAAGCACATCTAACTCAGCTGTAGAACTACTATAGAGTACAGGTATCCGTCTACAGGAGTAGAGTTAATTCAGTTGTAGAACTGCTATAGAGTACACACATCTAACTCAGCTGTAGAACTGTTATAGAGTACAGGTATCCGTCTACACTTCTGTAGACGGATACCTATAATCTATAAGCGTTGTACATCCGTGTAAGATGTCTCTTTAGATTGATACTCGTGTTTTATAAGCGTTGTACATCCGTGTAAGATGTCTCTTCAGATTGATACTCGTGTTTTATAAGCGTTGTACATCCGTGTAAGATGTCTCTTTAGATTGATACTCGTGTTTTATAAGCGTTGTACATCCGTGTAAAATGTCTCTTTAGATTGATACTCGCGTTTTATAAGCGTTGTACATCCGTGTAAGATGTTTCTTTAGATTGATACTCGTGTTTTATAAGCGTTGTACATCCGTGTAAGATGTTTCTTTAGATTGATACTCGTGTTTTATAAGCGTTGTACATCCGTGTAAGATGTCTCTTCAGATTGATACTCGTGTTTTATAAGCGTTGTACATCCGTGTAAGATGTATTTCTGTATACGGATACCTGTACTACATAGGTTGTATTATAATCATGTTTAATAGACAAGGAACTGCGTTGTTCAAGGTTAACCCATTCCTTCCCGTTAACCAGCTTTAGCTGTACAAAACGACCCGCATGATTACTTGTTGCACTTGAAATAAAATTTCCAAAAATCTTCAAACTCCATCTGATCTTAGTTATCAAAGTAAAAACCAAGACGACCATTTTTTTCAGATACCAAAGACGATTTTCTTTTCAACTCGACACAATCGTGTATTTCTACATCCATTCACACCCTGTCCGATTACACAAACCACGAACCTGATAAGTACAGAGAGTAACGAGATGAGCGCTGGCTGTAAACAAGAGTGCGTTGTTGTTGATGGCAGAGTGACAGATCACGTGGTCTTTTACGTAAAACTAACTCACGTGAGTGATGGAAAAATTCACACCACAGTGAATATAAAATCGGGATCTGTCGAACGTTGGATAATACGTCATAAGGTTTAAAGTAAATATGTTTCTATCACGCTTTGATTGTTTACGTTAATTTGAAATGAATATATAAACAAATCAATAAACGTTGAAGACTTCTTATATCATAATACATTATATTATAGTTTAAACCTGTACTAAAATACACGATATCATAGTTTAAACCTGTACTACAATACATGATATCATAGTTTAAACCTGTACTACAATACATGATATCATAGTTTAAACCTGTACTAAAATACACGATATCATAGTTTAAACCTGTACTACAATACATGATATCATAGTTTAAACCTGTACTACAATACATGATATCATAGTTTAAACCTGTACTAAAATACACGATATTATAGTTTAAACCTGTACTACAATACACGATATCATAGTTTAAACCTCTACTACAATACATGATATCGTAGTTTAAACCTGTACTACAATACACGATATCATAGTTTAAACCTGTACTACAATACACGATATCATAGTTTAAACCTGTACTACAATACACGATATCATAGTTTAAACCTGTACTACAATACACGAT